TTTTTTATTCTGAACATACTTGACTTCCTGAAAATTACCAGGACATAAAAATTCCGCTTAAATTATCAACTATTGCTTTTATCTCCCTCAGTGAATTGCATCCCTGCTATTCTGAGCTGCATGTCAATTCTGTAGGTTGTTAGAGCAGTTTTCAGTGGGGTGTCCTTGAAGGTAATTCTCGTTCGCTTTGGTCCTGCTTTATTTCGTTCTGTGATTGGATGGTAAAACTTGCCACAGTCTCTCAACCAATGAGAAACAAAACCAAAACCAAAAGCGACTCAGAGTAACTACTTTGGTTTTGGTCTTACGACACTCATTGGGAAACCTCTCTATGTCGCGGTAGATTTAATACGATGGCGTCGGTGGACAGTGAAGAAGCCGTTGGCCCTGTCTCATCACCTCCACAAGTTAAACTTGAAGCTCACTTAGAAAAAAACTCATGCAGAATAATGATGATGATGATGATGATGATGATGCTGATGCTGATGTTGATGCTGCTGCTGCTGATGATGATAATGGTGATGATAATATTTTGAAGAACTGCCATACACTATTTTAAATAACTTAGTTTCCCTTGCTGTCTTAAATGTAAAAGTACAATATATTTCAATTAATAATCTCCAATTCCATCAAGATCCCCTACTATATTTAGTAAAATACTCGCAATATACAAATTGTTTCGCCCCTCAGCTCACTTCTAACGTATGAGGACAATAATAATAATAATAATAATAATAGGAATGATAATAATAATGATGATAATGATAATAACGTCGACAAGGTGGATAATATCACAAAGATCATTGATGTAGTAGTGCCTCAAGACGCCGATATTGACATCAAGTACAAGGAGAAGGTTGACCATTTTAAAGATCTAGCCTTAGAACTCGCCAGATTGCGGCATAAGTGGCCAATGATTATCCCAATCAACGTCGGATCGTTGGGATGCATGGAAAAACAACCTTTACAAGGCCCTTAAAGTTCCAGCCATTGAAACTGATTGCAGCAGTAACAGCCTGCAAAAGACAACAGCCCTGGGTTCTGCATACATCTTACGAAGATTCCTGATATGCTAGGCTTAGAGGACTGGTTGTACTCCGCCTAGTCGATCTACCAGTGAGAAACTTGGTCATCATCATCATAATCCTCATCATCATCATCATCACCACCACCACCACAACCACCGCCAACGCCATCATCACCACAACCACCAACAACGCCGCTACCATCATCATCATCGTCATCGTCATCATCATCATCATCACCGCCACTACCACCACCACCAACGCCACTACCATCACCATCACCATCGTCATCTTCATCATCATCATCATCACCGCCACCACCACCATTATCATCATCATTTTTAAAAGGAAAAAAGGTGTTTACTGTACTCATATAATTATGATGATGATGACGACGACGACGACGACGACGACGATGATGATATTTGGCCAGGAGGCTCCGGTCACCGAAGTGGTTTTCAGGGAGATCCTAAAAAAGAATACTGGGGAACGTATAGTTCCCGGAGTTATGGTCTGTCCCAATATACATCTACTGGTTAGGTTGAGGCCACTGGGTGATGCGCTAACCACTTAGAAAAGCCTTAGCTGGTCTCAGGAGACCCACAGTTATATGACTGCTGGGTTTATATCCCCACGAGGAGAGAAAAGGACTTAAGGAGAACGGAAGGCTAGCAGTCGTATTTTATATGGGAGACAGTCATAACCAGTGCTGAAGTCAACAATCCTGAAGCAAAATTAGGAACACTGATTGCTTGTCTAGTATATTTCTTAACTGACTTCCACGGTGGCTACGTTGGTGTCCTTTCTAGGCGGATTCATACTAAGTCTTGTAATTTTCTGAAAATCATTTTCTCTAAAACTTTATAGTCTCACCACTACTGATTGAGCCTAAATATGCTCTAAAATGGTTCTCTATACCTGCCGTTAACCTACTGTGATTCTTAATTTTATTCATGCGTGCAAACGTATTTTTTTCTGTCGATGAAAACCAAGAATGGAAGGATCAATACTAGCACAACTTTTTAAAGGAACCAGTTGACCATTCGCCTTTAATTTATAAACAGGTAGCTTCTGATATGGCTGGTCTAAGTCCAAGATCTACCGGCCTTATTCGACAAATTTCACTCGTTTCGACAGAAAGACTGAGTAAAGAAGTATCATGATGGAAGCTCGGTCGGCGCACGCGCCAAAAAATTCCATGTTTGGAGTCTGAGCTGCAACCTCGCTCATTGCTCTTCTGTTATCAGCTACGTCAGCTTCATGCCAGTGTTTACAGGAGAAAATCTAACGGAATTCTCTTCGAAATGCGGGATTCATCCCAGCATATATGAAGGGGTTGATTGAATCCGACAAATAAAAGAGAAACATACAAAAGAGCTCAACGTTTCGAGGCATCATTGCGACAAGACGAAAGCGACGGAGAATAACGATGATCCAGACGGTACCCAGCAGATCATGAAGGCGAAGACGACTACGGATAGAGACTTTCTGAGTCTGATTTCATGATTGGTGATACCCTTGCTTTTCCACCATTTACGGCTTCTTTCCCGAGCGCTTTTTCGTCTTTGAATCGTCGCAGTTGCAGACGCATTGTGCTGTCGGATCACCTTCGCGACTTTTGTGTAGCTGAATGCAGCTGATATCAACGGTGTTAAAAAGAACAACGTAACGACGATGCCGTAGTGAATAAGTTTGCCGGTTTCGCTGAGGTGTGTGATAGAGTACTGGGCGTAACCTGGGACGAATTTGTACGTTTGAAGACCGAACCACCGTGTAACATGCAACGAAATATCACACGAAGGCAAGCAAAGCGCGCGACTTTCTCGCTGCAAACAGTCTCTTAACTTGTACTGCTGATCCGACTTGCCTATCCTCAAAATAACGATTTAAAGCTCTTAAACCCATGGATACAGGAGAAACGTAGATAACAAACAGGCTGAAGAAGGCGTAAAGTTGGCAAAGCGTTCCGCCGAAAATCCAGTTGCCTGCTATCAATACGCTCGCGCTTATGGGCATCACAAACACAGCAGAGAGCAAATCGGAGACGAGCATTCTTGCAAATCGCAATACAAACCAAGGTGTTTCCAATTAGAGACAAAATGTTCAAGGTTATGAGCAGGCTGATGACTTCTACAACGATCAAACTGAGACTCCGTGAGCTCAAATCGTCCGGCATCATAGACACAAACGTGCCAACCTTACCATCAAATTGATCTTACTGCTCTCGGGTTTGCTGTAAAGCCTCAGAAAAGGTTTTTCGTTTCAGCTATCGGCGTCACATGTTAATCCCAGTATTTCGCTTTCACCAGTGGAGATGTCAATTGCCCATCCAATTTCAACATTCGTTAGCATATTGTTGACGATATTTCTTAATACATTTCGAAACTTTAATAGGAGTTTAAATAAAAGACGGATGTCCCCGGCACAAACAATAAAAAACTGAATGAACGGCAGAGAAATGAGTAGACAAACGAGTGCAAAGCAAACAAACACCCAAACACAAGC